TTTTGGAGTCTTTAATTTGCAAATTGTCGCTCCCATTGATAATGTTGCAGAAAACACTATTTTCATTAGACTATCAGAACCCAATTCTAGCAAGTTAAGCAATAAGGTCAATTTACTGACGGGGGCATTGTGGCCAGCGCCTGAAGTCCCAGCTATTCCCAGGCCTAGAAAGGAACATCATTTAAGCCCAGGAGTTCAAGGTTACAGTGAGTTATGATCCAGCCCCTGCCCTTCAGCCTGGGCAGAGTGAGAACTTATCTCTTAAAAAAAAATAAATAAATGACTGATAGGATAGTTGAGCATCTCACAAAATCCAAGGGCAGGAATGCACCTGGCATTCAGAAATGAACTGGAAGGAGGGATTTCTCCACTTCAGGAATGTCTCGCATTTCAGCTTCCTCTCCTTACAAGAGGTTGCTGTGAGCTGTGGAGGAGATACAAGTTTTACCTATTATAGGTCCCTAAACCACACGACTGGCCCGTCCTTCCAGTTTCTTGGACCAGAAACTTCCATGCCCTGTCGCTGTGTCCTGGCGCTCCCGCCTCCGGTGTGTGGGGAGGCCTGCTCGCCCTGCCTCACTGCACCCACTGCCTCCCACACACCGCACACTGCACCCCTGCCGGCATCGCTGCACTAACTCAGGGGTCTCCCTGCTTTTGTCTTTGACCCTCTGCTGTCTGTTCTCCACACAGCAGCCAAAGTGGGCCTCCCAGGAGCATGGCATGACAAGCCTCGGCACCAGACTCTTCCTCTGCATCTCTTTTTATTTAGAATAAATGCCAAAGCCCCTAGGAGCCTTCTGTGGTCAGTCCACCATGAACTCCCTGACTTCTCTGCCAACTCACCCTTGCTGTGCATCTGCCCTCAGGCTAGACTCTGCACAGCAACAGCCCCTCCCCCCCAAGTCCCCAATCTGCCCCTACTGGCATTTCCTTCTGAATTCTCTCTCCACAGTACTTACCACTCTGCTCCCTCAGGACTTATCTCATTCATCATCTGTCTCTTCCTCTGGAATCTAAAATTTTATTTTATTTTATTTCTTTATTTTTTGAGACAGAGTTTCATTTTTCACCCTCCGTAGTGTGCCATGGCGTCATAGCTCATAGCAACCTCAAACTCTTGCCTTAGCCTCCTGCATAGCTGGGGCGACCACAACACCCGGCAATTTTTTTGTTGCAATTGTCATTGTTGTTTTAGTTGTCCCTAGGGCCAAGTTTGAACTCAGCAGCCTGGGTGTATATGGCCAATGCCCTACCCACTGAGCTGCAGGCACTGCCTCTAAATGTTTTCTTGAATGGATTTTTTTTTTTTTTTTTT